CAGGTTTAAAAAATGCCCTTTCACGTTCTGAAATTTAATCACAGGGGATGCCAGTACGTAGACTGACCGCTGCCGTCTGTGTCCGAGCTTTCCACGCACCTGTTCGGCATTGTTTCGAGATGTAAGTACAGGTTGCAAGGTGCCCGATGACCCGGCCGTTGGTGTTTCCTTGTATTGTCTGGATATACCAGGGCTCGAGGCACAATCCTTTTCACTTCACCAGCTTCTCGGCGTTCAATGTAATCGGCAGGTAAAGGGGTGCCCTGAGTTCGCCGCGTATCAGTGACTTGTAGTGGCCCGGACGCTTTTCTTGTTTACAACGCATTCGCGGTACGACGCGGCCGGAGTCTCCTGCCGAATTTAAAAGCAGACATTCATCACGACCTCTCGCGCCTGACGCCCAAACGTACCTTTCTGAAAGGACGTTTTGAAGCGACTCTGTGAGGAAAGCAGCGAAGCACATGATTCGGCCATTACGGGAACAAATCACACAGAAAAGCTGAGCGCTGCAGCCGTGTTGCCAGCGGATGTATGCGCCTTGACCAAACCACACGCATTTACATATATTAATAAAATTATAAACTTCAAACATTTAATTCCTTTAGTTGCAAATAATTATCAGCAGTAGATATCTGGAATATTGTGCACTGTTTACCCACAAAACAGTTATTTAGAAAAAAAATCTTTAGCGGACTACTTTGTTGTGTGTAGGAATGCTCTTCTCGAAGTCGCGAACCGTCCCTCAGCCTTTGGCTGCGCTTGGAGGGAAGCTGAAACGAAGTATAGTGATCCTTAATTCTGACCAATTCGAGTGCTTCACACTTTTAAATGTAATCCGGATTCATCCTGAATAAGCGTTGTGTAGAGTGCAAAGATCTGTATATCGCTTTTAAAATTTCTCGTCAATGTCAGCGTTTTTGAAACTGTGCAAGCGATACACCTTTCAACCTGGCTGAGCTGCAGAAATCTCTTACAATGTCATTCTCGTGATTGCTGTTTTAGCAGGAATCGCTTAAAATGCCCAGAATGCACAACGAACACAACAAGGATTTCGCTCGGAGTCAGCGGGGCCGTCTATAGCATTTTTTAGCGTTTCTATGTTAACGTCAGCGTCGTTGAAGCTCTACGATAATGATATTATTGTGAGAAATTTCCGCAGCTTAGCAAGGTAGAAGGGTGGATGGCGTGCACAGTATCAAAAACTCTGACATTGACGAGAAATTTTAAAAGTTATGCGACAGGTCTTTGGACCGTAAACGACATTCAGGATGATTCCGGATTACACTCGAAAGTGTGTGAGCATCGAATTGGTCGAAATTACCGATTACTACGGAATTGAAGGAACACCGTTCCCATGATTCCTCGAGTGCAGGCCGGTGCGCTTGAGGGATCTAGCAAATTGTCTATTAAAGCAATATATATTTTCACAACTTAAAATAAAAAAGCTAATTAACGAAATGTTGCTCAATTATTTGACCTATCGTAACGATTAGCCCCCTTTATTATGTCCACCTGGACGTATATGCATGACCATAGCCTCCTGTATACTGACAAAGTCTGGCAGATCGTGCACGAGAAGCGGCCGCCGAAATTGAAAAGGCAGAGAGCGGCAGACATCGGATGAAGGCCTGTCCAAACAGGCTACTGCAAAAATCGTCAGGCCACACGACTCCTGCAAAAATCGTCAAAATCGAAGCGCCCGGGAGTCGTCGGTTGTCTGTCTGTTTGGACACCGAAAAAGCCAAATTCACGACTTTCCTCCTCGCCTCCTCCGCTTTTCTTTGACGTAGGTGCTCGTCCGACCTGACATCACACGCCACCTGCCAATGGTGTGCCTGGTGCCTGTCTCTCTCCCGCGGCTCACGAGGTCGCCGACCTCGCTACCGCCGTCACCTCGGCAGGAAGGCCAAAGAGGTCCGGCTTCGGGTGGATTTGGGAGATGCCTGCGTCGAAGCGCGCGTTTCGGCCGCCCCAGCTCAGCTTTCTTCCTCAGGATCCACGTTCGTCGCACGACAAAAAAAAAAGTGCAGTGTGCAACAGTAGTTGTATGTGGAAACACTGAGAACTTAAAGGGGCACTAACACCCCAAAGGTCATATTTTTTTTATTGTCTAAAACGATGCAAGTTGCAGTCATAGAAACGCAAAAAAAACGCATCGCGAAAAAACAAAAAAAAATTTACCGCGCGCGCGCGCCTTTTTATTTTTGGCGTTTGATTCTCCCGCCTCTTGCCTCCTCGCTTCTTTTGATTCGTGACGTCAAGAATCATGAAATTTAGAAGCTTTGTAGGCGACATCTCTATAATATTTAATAACGGAAATCCTAAAACATGTTTTTTAACGTAATTACGAACGCACTACGGCCCTTCTTTTTGAAATACCAAAAATCGGGAGTTCGTTGTGGTGCCGTCTCCTGGATTTGTATCCTCCGACGGAAAGCAGGCGACACCGCTCAAAACCGGTCCGCCGGCGCTGGCTCCTTTCCTCCTCGCTTTGGGTCGCCATGGCAACAGCAGGGAGTCGTGAAAGAAAGTGGACTCTCAGGTCTCCGCAATATTTGACGTCAACGCACCGGCGCGGATCGCGCGGGAACTTCGAATTCGGCATTTGGAAATTGTTTTTTTACTTCACAAATACTGAATTCCCAAATTTCAAATTTTGAGGGTAATGTCCCGGCATCATTCTAAATCGTTTCGGATAATAAAAAAAATATGATTTTGATGTGTCAGTGCCCCTTTAAGAATATATCATTTATTTTATTAAACTCCAAACCAACCAGGTTTGTACGTTGGGAACAAGAGCCGCGGGAACCCGATCCAATCCACAGAACTGCTGGAAGATGACACGACCTTCGACACGACGCGCGCTCGCCTGGCTTGCCCCCTCACACTCGAGTCTTCCCTTTCCCGTTTTCGGGACTTCCAAAGCGGCGGAGGCCTTGAGCGATTGACCGACAGCCAACAGAGCGTGTGAGTGGCTCTCCGGACCCACGTGATGAGCAGAGCAAGGCCGCTGTGGAGGTAGCGAAGGGGGAGATTTGACGGGGGGAAGTTTCCCCCCGGCAGATTTGACAGGGGTAAATTTCTCCCCTGCGGTTGGAAGCGGAGCGCCGCACTATTTGTCGGAGTCGTGCGCTTTGTAGTAGCCTGTTTGGACCCCCCTTAAGTGGCTCTCCGGACCCACGTGATGAGCAGAGCAAGGCCGCTGTGGAGGTAGCGAAGGGGGAGATTTGACGGGGGGGAGTTTCCCCCCGGTATTTTACAGGGGGAAATTTCTCCCCTGCGGTTGGAAGCGGAGCGCCACACGATTTGCCGGAGTCGTGCGCTTTGTAGTAGCCTGTTTGGGACACCCCTTAAGAGGAGAGTCACGTGACGGGCGCCTCGCTGCGGCGAGACGCCGAAACACAGTTCTCCCGTGCGATGGAATGTCCGCTCGCGCTCCTCGCGTTCCTCGCGCTACCACTTCTTTTCTCGTCGGGTTTGAAAACCACGTTTTGGGTCCTCGCTGCTCCAAAAGCTGTGAGCTGACGTCCAGGTTCCGCGAGAAATGCTTTGTGGTACCAGATGCTCACGCTCCAAATCTGCGATCGGGCACTCTATGGCTCCGTCGTCGAACTGCAAGGTTTTATGAGTATAGAGGAGGCTCTGGTATGACTCACCTGCACAGACCGCGTCAGTCTAGCTTTCGCGGTTCTTTTCAAAAGAAATTTGTTTAGCGAAAAACAATAACAACCACCACCTTGCATATTACAGGTTTGACTAAGACACACTACACCCTTTTCAAAAGTGCGCTCTATCTACTACCCTCAGGACTAATTACCCGAGTACGCCATTGTTGAGGCGTGTACTCCAAGCGTGCATTAAAAAAAAAGAAGGTTATGTTTGCATTTGGCGTAAGCTCAACGCGGCTCGCGTCGAAAACTTGGACCCAATCATACGCATCGTGCTCGAGAAATGCTCACCGCCACTGTTGCTTGATCGGCGGTTTGAAAAGGGTCTATTCACAAGTCTAACAGCAATTGCCGCTGCCATATACCTCGACGGCGGTTTCCTCGTGGATGTGCCTTCTGAGGAGGCACCGTGCCCCGGCACATTCCAAGCATATAAACGCATCTTTTTTGCGCGTTAAAAGAGCGCCTCGAAGAAACAGTTGCCACGAAGCAACATTATCGCGCTGCAACAACGCGGCCATAAAACAAAAAGAAAAAGAACATTGAAAAAACAGTTGAGGTAACCATGTTAACAACGGTGGCAACACTGGTTTTTCAGTGACTGCATATTCATATCCATAGGCACCCCAAAGGGTGGCACGCGTCTAAGCAAAGCGCACCTGAGGGCACCCCACCCTTGACAATATAGCGTTCCAACGAACCTCGTCACTGAAGCTAAGAGCAACCTTTTTACAGCAGGAAAGAAACAAATCTGTTTGGTGTAAGGCCACGGCCACACTGCTTACACATCATACACAAAGGACGGTCTGCGCACAGATTCGAACGCGAGTCACCGCGAGATCCCTGATTCGAAGGCCGCTTGGTATTGAGTTCAAGGAGAAAACTTCGAACCACGGATAATGCGGTGACTCGTGTAGACTCGCTTTCTGTGATCTACGAGCAGCGGGACTGCCGCACTCAAAGTAAGAATATAATTAAAAAGAAAAAAAAAACGGATCTTTTTTTTTTACATTGTCAGTCCTATTCTTTCAAGAAAGGAAAACAAATAAACAAACAAGCAAACCAACAAACCTGTTTTTTATAGTGTTTTTTTGCCAAATATGAAAGTCAATACCTCAGCGTTTCTGCACTATATGGGAACCTTTTTTTAAATGTTAGTTTTCCCTTTATACCCTAGGGTTTTGGTAGACAGCCATTGACCTCGTGCTTTTCTTTTTTTTTTTTTTTGTCTGGGTCTTTTGAGACGTTTTATCGTATTAAGGAAATATATTGGGCAGCCCAAACTCGTCTAGTTGGAATCAAGTTGACCCTCTTGGGAGGAACGTCACTCACCCGCATATATTGTTCGGTTTCTTTCCCCGATGTACGGGAACTTATCGATGTTCTTTTGGGGTGCTTGAAGAAGGTCCTGATCACTTCCGCAGTGGGGGGCTTGGTGCGCCAGGTACAAGAAGAAGGGCTGGAACGACAAGATGCAGCAAAACACGCCGTACCATGAAACAAATCGGGCAATAATCAATCAATCAATCAATCAATGCGTTTTTTATGATTCCACTATTCAAATCTTGTCCCGGAGTATTGAGTTTGAGCGTATTTATAGGCCCTTTTCAGCAGTCCATTACTCTAACGCGGGCGGCCGCCATATTTTGGTCATCGCTCCGTGCGCGACGCGTGTGATTAGAGGCGAGTTCACACCGAGCGCTGACGCATAACTCGTGTCGAATAGATTTGCACTCGAGTACGTGCCGAACGCTTAATCAGCGCTCGTCTCCAATACATGCTCAAAGTGAGTGCCGCGAGATATGGTGACCTTGGAGCAGATACCGGAGCACGCGCACTTTTGATAAAAAGGGTCAGCAAAAAGGGTCAGCAAAAAGGGTCAGGAAAAAGGGAAAGAGCGGAAAAATGGAAAGAATGGTCGTGAAATGAACGTTTGCATCAGGAACAAGAGTGTGCGATGTTATCTTCGAGCACTAAGATTTTGCATGGTTTCGTCATGGTCAGACTCACAATGCAGACGTACATTAAGAAGAACCCCTGAAACGAAAGCCTAACAACAGAAATTAACCGAGATCGGTGATTGTAGAACCGATACTGCGTATATTGTATCAACGTAGTATAAAGCGTGTCTTGAATGGATTTGCATAAATAACAGTGATTGGCTCTTAAAATGCAGCAAACGTACAAATTGCGCTGGTGCGGTTACCTCGTGTCAGAGCATTTAGTTTCAATTTCCGGAGAGATATCGCTAAATGTACCGGACGGGAAAACGTCCGAATGAAAAAAAAAAAACTACTCCAGTTTTCGAGGTTAAACTGAGCAACGGCGTTTGACATGATCACGTTATGCTGAGCGCCACATAGGAAAATGTTTTTCCCTGCGTAAATCCAGTGATTTCCTCTTACAAAGGTTTACAGGAAAGTGAGTTACGGGCGTTTTTAGAGTTGCGCAGGTGAGGATGACTGCCAACCTGGTTCCTCGACATTGACGAAACCTACCAAGCCAATAAGGAAGCTCAAGAGATCTTTTCTGACCAGGATTACAATACTTTAAAAATGCACGTACGTTTGCTTTATCTCAATGATTAATATACAGAAATTTCCGATCACTATAATTTAAATAACTGCTCCCAATAATTACGAGGCACAAAAAAAAAAAGCTGTTTCGTTTTAAAACGCGTTCTGCTCATTGTTATGCGTCGGTTGCGTTTTAATTTCGTCATGTTTATTCGTACCTCATCATTGGCCGGAAATGCACGGTAGATCATAAGAATTAATCCTCAGTGTGCTCTAAAGTCAACTAGATGCGCAGGAATATCTTTAGAGTGCATGTTTTGGATATGGCGCACGGAGCGTTTTAGTGTGAGACACAATTCCTCATACGGCAAGCAAGTTCGGCTGCTTCTTACGAAGGCATTGACGTCTAAGAGCAGAGTTCTTCCTGGAAGAACAACGTGTAAGTATAAAAAATAGCTGCCGTTACTACTGCTCACTCTATCCTTCTAGTCAGAGCAAGCAGGTTCGTCTTCTACTCCTTGCACAGAGATATCAGTGGCGTCAGTTTTGGGCGTTCGGGCGCCGAGCACCAACGACGTCTGCAGTTCCTAGCAATGATGGTCCAGCATTTTCTATACCACTTTCGGAAACTCACTGGTACTTTATTGACAAGTAGTTATCCTTTGAGGAAGGGAATGAGGAAATGCTTCGGACGTCGATCTTTGCCGACGAACAACTACCAGGGGCGCTCGAACCAGTGAGGAAGTTACGGTCGAGATGACGTCAGCATGCCACCACCGATGAGCTGACAACAGCTGCGGGGGTGGAGCTTTGTCGCCTTCGTCGCACACGCTCCCATGCGCGAAGGAACGCGTTTCGTTCAACCTCCATGCCGTATTATTTGAAGCTCTCTCCTTAGTGTGCAGAGATCAACGTTACTAAAACACTCACTTGGGAAACTCACCCTTGAAACCCGGACCGATCGCGTCCAACGAGACCAAACTAAATACGATAACAGCGCCACCCTTTACCGACGAGTTCTTAACGTCATATCAACAACATTTTTTTTTTTTAACGCGCCTGCGACGTTCCTTTCGGAGCGACCGCCCTGATGCAAAAGGGTTTTGGTGCAACTGAATACTGAATACTGATACTGAATACTGAAACATGAAAGTTGCTTCACATAGCTACTGCGAGATGCTTTTGTGATATGGCGCCACCGGCCCTTGCCCGACTCGACGTGCACCCGTGCAGTTCCCGGAGTGGACGCTGCGGGAGAAATGGCGGCGTTGCGATCGCCATTAGCTCGGTTCTCGAATGCGGATCGGAACCACTTTTTTTAAAGCAGGCTCTATGGCAGTTTCCCAACTGAGGGGCTCCAGTAACCATAGAGTTATTATAATAAACGCTAGAGGCTCAGCTGGCGTTAGCGTCTACGAGACTTCCGGTTGCAAATTGAAGCAGACAGCATGCAGTCTACCTTTCCAGTATTCCTGTGTATTCCTATGGGAAAATAACATTAATAACCTTTGTTATTTCGGTTGTACCGGATGGTATGTACCTTTATTAATATTGTGGAAGTGTAATTGCTTTAATTACAGCATTTTTCCTTTACCACTGAACGATGTTAAACTTCGCTATATTTCAGGCCCAAACCTGTAATTCATGGCAGGTTTGTAGAAACGAGCGACGATTCCAAGCAAAATAACGATCGAAAGGAATGTAGAGTGTGTTCAAACGTTCTCCAGCATTCTGTTGGTGCTTATATATTGCTAATATGCCTGTCCTCTCACTATATGAAAATGCCCCCGTCGTGCATCTTTACGAGTGGTTAAAAAAACGTTCGAAACGCAAAGTATAAAGTACGTGGGCTACGAAAGGTGTATTTTCTTATTATTTCCTCTGTCCGGCAGTTTTTATCGCGCACCTGTTCTCTGGCTTCCCCCTATTTGCAAAGATTTGGAGCGTGCGGGTGATGATTTGAACACAGAACAAGCATCTTTTGTTTCGCATGTATTCATCAGCAGAAAGAATAAAGTAGTACTTATTTATTGCAAATCGGACTATATTACGTGCTTGACTTTCAATTTATCTTGATCGTCTTCAAGCACAAGGAGTTACCTATCCAGTGTTACTGCGTAGTTCTTGCCGTCTCCCGTGGTTTTCCACATGTCCTTCGTTCGTTTGGTACATACACCCCCATGCTGGAAAGCGCCGGCGCCGTGTTCGCGCTAAGAGTGTCCGACAGTGCACATAAATACAAGTACGAAGCGGTTTTAGCACCGTGTTTCATGCCACGATTTTAAAATAAAAACGCCGTAACTGACCAATTATTTCATCTGCGTGTCTGGGAAATGTTCCAATGTGCCTCGTAGGTACGAATTATTCGTGATATTTGCTCTTACAATCGAGCGCAGGGAGGAAATGCACTCGCTTTTTTCCGCAGAAATGCATTACCGGAAGTCAATTTCGGACGGCTTGCTGTCTGCTTCAATTTGCAACAGCTCACTAGCGCCAGTTGAACCTCTAGCGTACATTATAATAACTCTATGCTAATAACGTTGACAGGAACCGATACCAATGGCCACTGCGGGAGAATGGCGGCGTTGCGATCGCCGTTACTTCGGTTCTCGAGTACGAATCGAAGACACTTTTTCAAAGCAGTGTTCTATGGCGTAGTTTCTGAACTGAGTTGTTTTAGTAACGTTGGCAGAGATTAAAGGGTAACTGCAAAGAAAAAATAAGTTTTTTTTAAACAGCCTAATTGGGACAAGCATGTCAAAAAAACAATTTTTCCGCAAGAAAAAAAAAATTTTTTACAGCAATATTTATTGCGTGAGACCGATTTTAGTTTCCGGCTATTTCGTCCGTTTTAAATCGCGCGCCACGAAGTTAGTGCTCCGTGACGTCTAGCATCAGCTGGCTGCTGTACTTCTCATTGGCTAAGAGTTTGATTGACAGCTTAGATTTGGTTGTTAAACCTTTGTTATATAGAGCAATTTCCTTTTGAGCGGCATATTTTTGCGTTTAAAAAATAACCCATGTGATGAGAGTTATTATTTATTACAAAAGGCTTACAAGACGGAAACTTCCGTTTGGATCCATACCATAACAAACAAAAACTCCGCCATTCTTTCATGGCCACCGAAGTCTCTGCTCCCACCTGTCTCGCCTACCTCGACTAATCGTTTCGCCGAAATGACAAGTGTTTCGTGCTGACCCAGGTGCTTGAGTGAGACTTCTTGAAGTGAAGTAGTGTGTGTTTAGCAGCTGTCGCAGCTGTTAGTGATAGGAAGCGACGCGGGGTTTTGGCTTTCATAGCGCGGTTCTTTCGTTTTCCTCTTTGCTTGCTTAGTGTGCTTTTTTTTTTTTTTTTTTTTTTTTTGCGCTTGCGCGTGCAAATGCTGACTTTTCGGACATGTCAGATGAGTGATCCCGACAGTGAGCCTTCCAGCAGCCATGTCGCCCCGAAAGGAATGCTATTTGGCTGGAGGCAATCGAGCGTTCGCGTAGCGACACACGTGTCCAGTTACGTTCTTGTCATATCGCTCCGGAGACCGTCGAGATTCTCACCGGGTGCCCCGGGGGCATTGAATCTCCGCGACCAGACACAGCTGTTACGTAAAAAACCTGGCATAGCCAGGTGATTACGTAATACCTGTCCGCAGAAGCCCTCGGACGTTCGAATTCTGCGTTAGCCGAACGATTTTTTTTTTTCTCGGCTTTCGAACCATCTTACGTAAATTGTTTGAATGAATATGTACTGTTATCGCAAATCTTGGCTTGTGATCGCGGATTTGTAGATTATCGCATTCGTTTTGCTGGAGAGACGCAAACGACGGGCATGACAAAATCAGTTGCATATTCCGCACACCTTGCAAAAGCACTTCCCCAGTCACCTAGCGAAAAGCGCGAAACACGGAGTGCGCACTGTCCCGACTTCCCAGTCTTTTACCTGCTTTAG